TTTATCAAACAGTTTGAAGGCAAGAAAAAAAAAAAAATCCAAAGCAACAACAATCCATTATAAGAATCCAAAGCAACAATCCATCTATAAGAATCCAAATCCAAAACAACAACAAACTATTTTGACATTGTAAGAATCCAAAACAACAATCGATCTATAAGAATTCAAAATAACAACCCATCTTAAAGGTCTGATTTGGTCATTTACGGACGGATTAAAGAGACCAATTCAGCGAGGTTTAGGGCAGAAATCAAGACCTCTATGACGCTCTCCTTCATCTTCTCTTTCTGTTCATAGATTCAAATGCTTGTACCCAAAAAATTTTTAGACAGAGAGAAAGAGAGAGAGGGAGAGGGGGGAAGGGGAAAAAAAAAATACCAACTGTCCATGGTGTGCAATGTGGTACTTTCGCTGGTTGGAGATGGGTGCTCGTGTGCAACGGTGGTTGGTAAGAGATGGGTGCTCCTTGCGACGGTGGCGGGCAACCCTCTATGGAATGAGAGAAAGAGATATGAGAGAGGATGAGAGAGAAGAGTGAGAGCGTGAGATATTTTATATAGATGGTTATTGGCGAAATCCCTCCAAAATATTTGAAATGTCTCCCTCCAAAAATTTTAGTTTTTTGCCACTAAAATTCTTTTTTGTAGCTGAAAATAAACTTTTGGCGACCAAAATTTGGTCGCCAAAGGTAAAAAATAAATTTTTATTTTCTATTTGGCGACTAAATGGTTTTAGTAGCCAAAACTCAATATACAACGACTAAAATTCTTTTTTTGTCGCTGAAAATATGCTTTTGGTGACCAAAAGTAAAAAATAATATTTTATTTTCCATTCGGCGACTAAATGGTTTTAGTAAGTAAAACTCAATATACGACGATTTTTTTTTTTGGTCGCCAATTTTGGCATTTTTAGCAAGTAAATTTTTTATTTTGTTGGCAACAATCAATATACCCCGACTAAAAAAAATTAAAAAATTAATTAATTAAAACTTTTAAATTTTATTTAATTTTAAAATTTAAATTGTCTTGAACTGAAACATATACAACACTATAATATTAAATAAGAACATAAAGTTTATAGAGTGAAACAACTCATTTTTTGCCTCATTTTCCTGAGTGAGATTGTAAAATAAAAGTTAACAGCTGTCTGGACGGAAAGTTCATTTCTAATCAAGAATCTCAGTTGTTCAATTTTTAATAAGATCAATCTTAATTTATTTCAAATCAAACAAATCTAAGCAATATGTTTTGATAAAACAACTAAAACCGTGGTTAAACTAGTGAATGAGTCAAACCGAAAATGATTTAGCCTAATCGGCTAAGTCAAAAGATCAACCAATTTATAACAAAATTAATTAATTAAAACCTTTAAATTTTATTTTAAAATTAAAACTATTTTGAACTAAAACATGCAAAATACTATAATATTAAATGAGAGTATAAGATTCACTTTGGGCCCGTTTGTTTCTAGAGATAGAATGACAGGATTTATAGTTAGGGCATTGATAGTGAGAGAATTAAGTAAAATTGTGTTTGTTTTGATAATAGTTGTTATGGGGATTGTTAAATTATTTTTATATAAAAGAAATAAAAAATAATAAAACAAATAAAATTATGATTTTTACTTAAAAAAAAATACAAAAACATTAAATATTAATGTTAAAAAAAATGCCCAACATATAAAAAAGAAAAAAAGAAAAAAAAAAGAAGCTAAGTCGGAGCACTAATTTTCTAATACCAAGTCTTTGGCCTCCATCTCATCAATCCCAACATTCAAGGCCCATCTTAATCCAAAGGGCTTATGAATTCTCTCTCCATCTCTTAAAACAAATACAATATTAGTTGGTCCCACATCCATCTCAATCTCATTCCTTCCTCTATCTCTCAAAACAAACGAACCCTTTATATAAGTGAAACAACTCACTTTTTATTTCTTTTCTCGATGTGAGATTGTAATTATTTTAAAATTAACAATTATGAGTGTTTCAAAATCTTATACAAAATTATTTTTAAAATCAAAACATCTATGGAGGATTTTAGAATAAAAGTTAAATGAAAACTAATTAATAGAGATTTTCTTAATTGTTTAAAATTAAGAAAATAAAAAAAAATGGTTTTGATTATAGGGCTTCTCACTAAAAATCTTTTTTTACTTATATAAATGGAAGCATAAGATTCACTTTATATAAGTGAAATAATTCACTTTTTCCTTATTTTCCCGATGTGAGATTGTAAAATAAAAGTTAAATAGAAGCTAATCAACGGTGTTTTTCTTAATTGTTTAAAATTAAGAAATTTGAATTATTTATATAAATTAGAGTATAAGATTCACTTTATGTAGACGAAACAATTCACTTTTTCCTTTTTTTTTTTTTTGTTCCTTCTCTTCTTGCTCTTCTTTCTTTCCCTCTGGTTTGTCCCATAAAACCAACCGGCCGGCATTACTTTTTTTCCTTTTTTTACCCACCAAAAGTGTAGAAAGAAGAAGATCTGTGAAATATGCAACGTTTTGACATGTTTTGCACCCAAAACGACGTCGTTTTGACAGTTTTGAGCCATTGTGGCCACAAAAATTGTGGCCCTCAAACATTTTCCTAAAAGGCAAATGGAAGCTAATCAATGAGAATTTTCTTAATTGTTTAAAATTAAGAAAATTTAATAATTTTAAAATGATGGTTTGGAGCTTCTAGAAGGTTTTTCCCTTAAAACTTCCTTTATATGATTCATTTTATATAAATGAAACAATTCACTTTTTCTTTCTTTTCTTGATGTGGGATTGTAATAATTTTAAAGTTAAATATTATGAGAGTTTTAAAATCTCATACAAAATTAATTTTAAAATCAAAACTATGTGGGATTGTAAAATAAAAGTTAAATAGAAGTTAGCCAATAGGAAATTTCTTAGTTGTTTAAAATTAAGAAAATCAAAAAAATGAGTATGAGATATTAATCATAGGCCTTCTCAGTAAAAATATACTTTTGCTTATATAAATGAGAGTATAAGATTCACTTTATGCAAGTGAAACAAGTTACTTTTTCTTTCTTTTTCCGATGTGACATTGAAAAATAAAAGGTAAATGAAAATTAGCCAACGAGAATTTTCTTAAATGTTTAAAATTAAAAAAATTCAATAATTTTAAAATAAGGGTTGTAGTTCCTAGAAGGCTTATCCCTAAAAATCCAACTTTCCTTATATAATATATAGATAGATAGTGAAACAAACTTTGCTTTTTCTTCTTCTCTTGATGTGAGATTATAAAATAAATCATAAACTAATTAGAATTTTATTTTTATATGGTTAAATGGAAGTTAATCAATGAATTTTTTTGTAATTGTTTAAAATTAATAAAATCAATATGAGAAATCAAGATTAAACCGGCGAATCGGTCAAACTTAAAATGGTTCAACTTAATCGGTTAGGTCAAATGACCAACCAACTTATACCAAAATTAATTAATTAAAACTTTTAAATCTTTTTTTAATTTTAAAATTTAAACTGTCTTGAATTGAAGTATACACAATACTACACTATTAAGATTCACTTTATATAAGTAAAACAAATCATTTTTTTTTCCTGATGTGGGATTATAAAATAAAATTTAACAATTATTTGGATGGAAAGTTTATTTTTCATGAAATAATCTCAGTCTTTCAATATTTAATCAGATCAATCTTTAATTTATTTCGAATCTAACAAATCTAATCAATATTTTTGTATAAAACCGCTAAAATCGCGCTTAAACCAACAAATTAATCAAATAAAAAATGATTTAGCCTAATTGGCTAGGTCATAATTAATTAATTAAAACTTTTAAAATTAAAATTATATTGAATTAAAACATGCACAACACTATAATATTAAATGGGATGAGAGTATAATTCACTTTATATGGGTAAAATAACTCATTTTTTTCCCTTCTTTTTCCGATATGGGATTATCAAATAAAAGCTAATCAATAGAGATTTTCTTAATTGTTTAAAATTAAGAAAATTAGAATGAAATATTAAAACTTTCACAAAGCTCCTCACTAAATGAGATGAGAGTATAAGATTCCCTTTATATGAGTAAAGCAACTCATTTTTTTCTTGGGATTATCAAATAAAAGCCAGCCGATAGAGATTTTCTTAATTATTTAAAATTAAAAAAATCAAAAAAATTAGTATGAGATATTGAAACTCTCACAAGACTCCTCACTAAAAACATCATTTTCCTTATATAATATATAGATATATTAATTATAGATGTATATGAAAATATACACCATGAACATGAGTAATGCTATGGTACACGCCCTAGAAAATGTGTATATCATATACAAGTTATAACATTTGTCATAACTCAATTCTATAGGAGTCATAATTAAAAAAAAAAAAAAATGATATCAAACACTACATAAGATATAACTAAAAAGCTCTTGAATCATAACTAAAATAATATCACAATTAATATCACAATGAGTCATAACTAACAACACAATATATATAATTAAATCATAACTAACATCCCTAATAAATCATAATTACCACAAGAGTAATAAGCTGGGGGCATAGGTGTGTACCATAAACTTTCCATGCACATACATGACCTCATGGTTGGCAGGGTAAACAAATTTGGTGATGCTCTTTGCTTCGTTGAGAGTATGTTATTAATTACATTACAAGAAAAGTGAACTTTTTGCGACGGCATGTTCCCGTCGCAAAAAGTAATATTTTGCGACGGCATTTTAAGCCGTCTCAAATAAATGTCTTCTGCGACAGTATCACCCCGTTGCTAATAAACACACAAGAAAAAGTGCCTTAAATACCGAATTATTCGCGACGCATTGTGCACCGTCGCAAAAATAATTTTTTTGCGACTGGTGAAATTCACCGTCGCAAATAATGGACATTTGTGACCGCAATTCTCTGTCGCAAAAAGACCCTATTAAAATGGCGTCGTTTTAATAAATGGATTTTATCATTTGTGACGGCTTGTCTATACCATTTCATCTCCCTCTCCTTTAGCCCAATTGGCGCTCGATCAAAACCCCCCAAAATTTCATCCCAAAAATCCCTAACACCATTCTCCCTCACAATCACAGAGATTTCGAGTTCCCAATCACAGAGACGAGGACGAGTTCGGGTTCACTGACGATCACAGATATTTCGAGTTCCCAATCACAGAGATTTCGAGTGTTCACCGACGATCTCTCTCTCGACGAGCGACGACGGCTAGTAGTCTCAATCGCTCTCGACGACGGCTAGCGGTGGTGCGGCGACGGCGTATTACGATCCCTCTCTCTCTCTCTCTCTCACACACACACACACACACTGATGACGGTGTGGCAGAAAAGTAGGGCGAGAGAAAAAAAGGGGTTTATTATGAATATTCAGTGATCAGCCTTTTGATGATTCTCAGCTGGAAAGTGCTCAGCAACAGCCATCTGGAAGGGAACATCAACCTGCATCTGGAGGTGAACAGCTTCAGGAGCCCCCCGCAGAAGTTCCTCAACAGGAGGATGTTCCTTCTGCAGAACAGCAACCTGCATTTGAGACTCAAACTGTGTCACGGAAAATGGAAATCCCTAATAATAGGTGAATTGAAATTTATGATGTTGCCTTTTGTTTTCTTGCTAGTAAGAAATGGGGTTTCAAGGGAGATCAAACACCCTCTCCCCAACTTGGGTTCTTGTTAATTGGATTATTAGATGAAAGGGTTAATTGTGAAAATGATGGTAAATTGCTTATGAAGTTTAGATGAGGGTGTAGGAAAGACAAAATATGGTCTATAAATGGCAAAGAAAAAACTGACTTTTGATGAATGAGTTAGTTTCATGATTCAAGAGGGGATCTAGAGCTTGATTTTAGTGTGGACCTCAGATGGATCTTCCATGGGGTACTTTTTACTCCTTTAAGGCCTCATCTTTCTTCTCTTCTTTTCTCTGCTCTGCTCTTCTCTTTTATTGTCTTTTTAGTATTGTTTTAGTTTCTTCTTAGCCTTCCGTAAGTACAACAATTCCACAGAAACATGACTTCTGTAACATTCTCACGCATAGCTTTCCTTTGTAATTTGGATTTTGAATCCATAAAAACCTCGGCTGTCCTGCTCCATCATCATCTGAATTTTGAGTTTTACTAGGATGCATGTTTTATTTAACCAGGGATGTGTGGCACAATGGGATCAAGGTAGTTGATTTTATCCATGGCTTGAGGTGAAATTTGATCTAGTTGAGTTCACATTGGCTACTAATTGAATGGTAGTTATAAGATAAAATGGACATAGTTTTGTTGTTTACTGCTGAAAATATTTAAGAGTTTTAGAAGATAAAATAAATTGAGAAACACTTTAATGGAGAAAAATATTTATTAACTTGTACATGAGCTGGCTACTAGATAAGGGGAAATGGGATGTTTTGCCACCTTTTCTTTTGTTTCACCATACAGCTTATCAACATTTTTGGTCTGTGCTGATCCGGGGAATTAACTAACTCCAATTTTCTTTGATATGGTGTTTTCTAAAAGATAGCCAATTTTGGTGCAGGTTGGAGTTCTCATTGGCAAGGCTGGTGATACTATATGGTTTCTACAAATCAATTCAGGTGCCAAGATTCAGATCACAAGGGATGCTGATGCTGATCCATATTCTGCCACCCGGCCTGTGGAGCTAATAGGAACTTTGGAAAATATAAACATGGCTGAGAAACTGATAAAGGATGTTATAGCTGAGGTCCTATGCTTCTAGACTTGATGTCTTTTTCTTTCATCTACTCTCTTCTTAATTGCCCCCACATTTTGTTTATGGTTGACCTGCATTTGCTTTGTTCTTTTGGTGTTACGGTTTGTTTCTTCTTTGATAAAGCTACGTTTATTTTTTGTAGGCTGATGCGGGGGGGTTCCCCCTCCCTTGTGGCTAGGGGTTTCGGTATGGTGCAGGCTGCTGGCACTGTGGAACAAGTTCTCATACAAGTTCCAAATCAGAAGGTGACTTTGGTCTTCATCTTAGTTGGTTTTCACTCTCTCTGCCTCATTGCCTCCCTCTCTTGCTTGCTTCTTTCTGACCAGTCCATATTTGAACTTTCTTTTGTCCCAGGTTGGTGTAATCATAGGTAAAGGTGGGGAGACTATTAAAAATCTACAGACGAGATCAGGGGCATGCATTCAGGTAGTTGATATCATATGGCCCTGCTTTGAAATGTATGTGAAAATAAGTACAAGAATTCTCAACAGAGGTAATGACCGTCCTTCATAAAAGTGATACCATTTCACAAATACTGACAATGTTATTTTGTTTAGTTGATACCACAACATCTTCCTGATGGGGACCAATCTAAAGAAAGGACAGTGCGCGTGGCTAGTGATAAGAAGCAGATTGAGATGGCAAGAGAAATGATAAAGGAAGTTATGAATCAGGTTTGTTTGAACTTTCACCTTTCTTTTGAAAAAAATCGCAATGGATATTGTTTTTCCTTGTTTTTGATTGTTACAATTTTATTTTGTTGAGTCCAGATCCTTCAAAGACTAGAAACTGAATTTTATTAGGACATCTTTATTTTCAGAGTATTCTTATTAAGTGTTTGTTCAAGTCCTCTTTGGATAAAATCGGTGTTCTGAACCATGAATTTTTTTTTTTTTTTTTTTTTTTTTTTTTTTTTTTAAAAAAATTTTTTTTATAAAAAAATTTTTTTTGGGCTTGACAGTTAATTCAACTCCGAGTTTGAGACCAGATGTAATTAGATTTGAACAAAGAATAGCGTCGATAGGTTTATTTTTGGAGTATGTTATTTTGTAACTGATATGTTCTTTTCTTTTCTCTTATTGTTATAGCATGTGTAAAAGGTCTTCATCTGTGCTATAAATTATGTCAACTCTTTTACCGCACCATATTATCCCATGTTGTTATCAAAGAACTTCTCTAGTAACACGTACTGATGTCTATTTGAACCTGAGTTCAGAATTTTATGTCAATTTTTTATGAGAGAGAAAGGTGCATTGCTTGTTGGCCCCTTATGTATAAGTGGGCAGTAGGTTAATCCATTGTTGTTTAAGGCTGGGTGCAGCTGTAGTGCATTGGACAGCTTGAGGCTAGGCAATTTATGCAAGATGGCTGAGGCATGTGCCTTTGGCACATGCACAAGGCGATCACATTGTGCACTTAACTAAAATTTTGGTTTAACTGATGTCTTTGTGTGTTCAGTCACAGGGAATTTAACTGCTTATTATAAAATGCAGACATGTGTTTGAACCATGTTTTCCCAGTAAAAATGCCCTAGGCATTGAACAACAGCTCTGTTAACAACTTTTCAATTCAGTCATCAGAGTCTTGCTCATTTGATGGACCATGTTCTTCTTCTACTTCCACTCCCAGTGTTACATGAACTCTTTCTATTTCCCCATAATATGTGTGTCCACCGGATATGACAAGGGTAGGGCTGTGGGATATGTGTCCGACACCCATATTTAATTTAGACACTTGGATCCTCTAATTTTCTATGATGTTTGAAGAAGAATATTACATTTACTAGTAAAATAATATTTCTGGTCTCTCACACAGATGAGAGATAGAAAGTTTCTAAATAATATTTACTAGCAATGGGTGCAAACGATGTGATTGTAATTTTACTGCAATTTTACATCTGAATTTTTTTGATGATTTGGTGAATGAAGAAGATGCATTGAATTTGAGAATGGCTAGCTGTTAATTTTTTTTTTTTTTTTGAAGTTAATAATACGGGTATTTTTGAATTTAAATCCTTATCAACCATAGTATACTTTCTTGTTGTATGGAGCATCCATGCCGCTTCTTTTCATCAACTGTACCTTGGCTATTATGATAAAACTCAAACGATATGTCTAGTTTCATCATTCATGACTTCTTCAGGCATGTGTTTGGTAGTCTTTATTTGGGGAATATTTAAAAAAAAAAAAAAGCTACACCAAAAAACAACCTTGGCCTTAATTTACATCTTCATAGGCCTTAATTTACATTCTCTAGTTTTTGATTTCTAATTCGTGCTTCCATTTTTCTAACTTGTCTTCTGCAGGGTTCATTGCTTTGATTGCAACTTTGGCTAGCCGAGATGTGGTAAGATCACAGGATCATGATGTTGTACATAACTGCCTACTCTCTTTTTATTTTATTTTTTATATATAATTTTTTCAGACGTGTCTTATTACTTCTTGATTTATGTTCAAATGTGTTGACCCTAAGATCTTAATAATAGTTGTTGACCCTCATTCAAATGTGTCTTATTACTTCTTGATTTATGTTCTATTATTAAGGGGCCTAATGGAACAATGTTATGTTGAAATCATCATAAATCAGGCGTCTCCTAGAAACTTATTGCTTGACATGAACTAGAAATCTTCTTTTTATTTTTATTTTTTTTCCTGTTTTGGTTAGTTCTAGATAAAGATTAGCTTTTTGTATTCATCGAACATTTAAAGTTCTATTATATTGCTCTGAATTTTTTTCAGTCTTTACTCCGTTAGTTGTAGATTGGCCTTCCAGATCATCAGTTCACATTTCTAAAATGACAAAGACACAGACTTTCAATCTTTTAATATATATACATTGTATTTCCATTGTTATATTCGACAGCAGTCTTTCAGAAGTGTCCTGATATGATATCGGCTCTTTTCAGATCCTAGGAGAAAGTTCATCTGTAGTTGATTCAAAGGACCAAGATGTTGATGGACATGTTTTAGTACAATATTATGGGATACATGAGAGGTAAGCTTATGATTGGTTGGTGATGATGGTTTTATCTATCCTTAGAGCTGTGAAAATCTAGGGTAGCTTCCTAGTTTTAAGTTTTATGAGCTAAAATTTTGACATCATTTTTCAGTGCATGGGTTGATCCAGCTAGAGACCTTTCACAGTTTGATGATGTGAGTACTGTTTTCCTACTTCTCTCAAGGACCATTTATAACTCTTGCCTCATAAGTAGTGATTTGTACCATGATATGTATTGTTGTTCTGTGATTAGAGATAAGTTCATGATTGCAACAATTTCTTATTTTTAAGAAGCATTGACACTTCTAAGAAGTTGTTGACCCTCATTCAAATGTGTCTAATTACTTCTTTTAATTTTTTAGATTCGGAAATATTTCAGATGGGACTCGAATCAGGTTCCCGGTTTGGGAGTTAGAGCTGGATTTCACTCTAGGCAAACTAGTTCTTTGAAAAACTTAGAATTTGAGGTGTTGACACCCTAAAATAACCAAACGGCGTTGGATTAGCATGAAACTTGGCACACACGACCGCCTTGGCACGAGAGACTTGTGGGAGAAAACGGGACTCGAATCGGATTCCCGATTTGGGAGTTAGAGCCGGATTTCACTCTAGACAAACTAATTCTTTAAGAAACTTAAATTTGAGGTGTTAACGTCCCAAAATCACCAAACAACATTGAATTAGCACGAAACTTGCCACACATGACCGCCTAGGCACGAGAGACTTGTAGGAGAAGATGGGACTCCAATCGGGTTCCCGATTTGGAAGTTAGAGCCGGATTTCACTCTAGGCAAACTAGTTCCTCAACAAACTTGAATTCGAGGTGTTGACTCCCCAAATCACCAAACGGGATCGGATTAGCACGAAACTTTGCACACATGACCCACCTAGGCACGAGAGAATTGTGGGAGAAGACGGGGCTCGAATCGGGTTCCCGGTTTGGGAGTTAGAGCTGGATTTCGGTCTAGGCAAACTAGTTCCTTAAGAAATTTGAATTCGAGGTGTTGACGCCCCAAAATCACCAAACCGGGTCGGTTTGGCACGAAACTTGGCACACACGACCGCCTAGGCACGAGAGACTTGTGGGAGAAGACGGGACTCCAATCGGGTTCCCGGTATCGGAGTTAGAGCCGGATTTCACTTTAGGCAAATTAGTTCCTTAACAAACTTGAATTTGAGGTGTTGACGCCCCAAAATTACCAAACACGGTCGGATTAGTACGAAACTTGACACATACGACCGCCTAGGCACGAGAGACTTGTGAGAGAAGACGGGACTCCAATCGGGTTCCCGGTTTAGGAGTTAGAGCCGGATTTCACCTTAGGCAAATTAATTCCTTAACAAACTTGAATTCGAGGCATTGACGCTCCAAAATTACCAAACTGGGTTGGATTAGTACGAAACTTGGCACACACGACTGCCTAGGCACGAGAGACTTGTGGGAGAAGACGGGACTCCAATTGGGTTCCCAGTTTGGGAGTTAGAGCCGAATTTCGGTCTAGGCAAACTAATTCTTTAAGAAATTTGAATTGGAGGTGTTGATGCCCCAAAATACCAAACGGCGTCGATCTAGCACAAAACTTGGCACACACGACCGCCTAGGCATGAGAGACTTGTGGGAGAAGACGGGACTCCAATTGAGTTCCCGGTTTGGGAGTTAGAACTGAATTTTGGTCTAGGCAAACTAGTTCATTAAGAAATTTGAATTGGAGGTGTTGACGCCCCAAAATCTCCAAACGACGTCGGATTAGCACGAAACTTGGCACACACGACCACCTAGGCACGGGAGACTTGTGGGAGAAGACGGGACTCCAATCGGGTTCTCGGTTTAGGAGTTAGAGTCGGATTTTCGTCTAGTCAAAATTATTTAATTATCTTTGTAATTATATAGTAATTAATTTTTTATATTTTTTTTTGCAATTAAAATATTAACATATAATCATATTGTCATTAATTATTTTTATTTTTTGTTTTCAGATATTTCCAGTTTGTTTCTTGTGGAATGTAAGCGTGTGAAGATTGCGATTAACTTTTGTTTTTGTTACCCACGGAAGAATCATGAGGGAAACTTTTGTTTTTGATTTATGTTATTTTGAATTGTGAACAACATTATGTATTTAAACATTGTATATGTATTATGCAATATTATGTAGTGGGATAATTTTACTAATGTGTTGTAATGAATGCAAGAATATTTTTATTATGGATGAATTGTTATTTTTATACTGAAATTTTTATATTATTATGTAATTATTGGTTTCTTTTTCAGTTATTTTTCATTTAATACAGGTAATTTTCATATTTTTAATAATTATATATATATATATATTTGAGACGGCACCGCATTGTCGTCGCAAATGATATTGGCAGAGTTGAGACAAAACCTTTTGCGATGGTATTCTTTGTCGTCGCAAATAATCTTTTAGTGACGACATGTCGTGCTGCCTCAAATATTTTTTAGCGACAGCAGGTATCCCGTTGCAATAAAAATATTTTCGCGATGGTATTTTTGCCGTCGCAAATAACACTTTTAGCGATGACAACACAGTGCCATCTCAAAAAATCTTAGATTTTTTCATATAAATGGCGACGGTAGAATTCCATCGCAAAAAGGCAACTTTGTCGTCGCAAAAAAAAGGCGACGACATTGTGCCGTCGTAAAACCTTTTAGCAACACCCTTTGTTGTAACCCCCCATTTGCCGTCGCTAAAAGTCAAATTTTTTGTAGTGTTAGTGGTTAAGATTGTAAGAATATATCTTAAACAGTTTTAATACCATGTAACTAATTTTTGTACTGGAAGCAAAATTGAGAAGGAAAAAGTAGTTCTTTTAAACAAATATATACAAAATTTGTCATCAGAGTGATATGGCAGTAACATTTTCATAATTAATAATAATCATCTTTGTGGGTTCTTTGTTTTAAAGTGATAAGCTTACTGAGAGGGTAATTTATAAATAAATATTGGCCGAGCTACGATCCTTTAGTCTTTTTTATGGGCCGGACTAAAGGCCGAGGTATGGGCTTTGAGTAGCTCGGTCCCATATTGTATAAAAGTTGGGCCGAGGTACTTTGGACCGAGCTACCTAAATAAGGGGCATGGTTGTTAGCCCAGGTATTGGTGAGAAAGGAGGCCGGGCTAGAAATAGCTCGACCGAATGCTATCTATGTCATTACTTAAGTGTATGACCAAGGTAATATAGCTCGGTTAGGTCACAACAGCCTAAACAAAGGAGGTAACCATCTTACTTAGTTAGTGGAAAGCAGAGTGTTATTATAATAGACATTCTTCATTGAGCTTGAGACTCCTAGGAGGGCTCTGCTAAGGAGAGTAGAGTCCTACTAGGGTTGTACAAACCATCTCATTTGGTCAGTAGTGAGTAGGGTGTGTGATTCCTAGAAAGACTCTTATATGGAGAGTTGGAATCTTACTAGGATTGTGCCAAGCGGAATCTATAAAACCTCATAGCAGGACCTATGTACAGGTATCACAATCTTTATTCTCTAAAACACACAACTTCTTGTCTATTGCCTATTTTGCTGACTTAGGCATCGGAGAGGTATCCGACACACACCCGCTGGCTAGCTAACGTTTGTATTTTCAGGAAACAAAGCGACAACGTTTGGAGGAGTGTAAACTTGATCAACATGATTATACGAGAAGATTATTTCGTGCTCGTACAATTGACACCATCTGTGGGAACACCGCAGAGAACAAAACCTTTTGATCAAGTTTTTTTTCTATTAGTTGAAATCAATGGCACACAACGAAGATTTGTCGCAATCTGCTATTGATGGGCAAACCCTGGAGGGAGGTGGGAGGCCCGAAGGTTTTCCTTTTATCCTACCCATGGCAGAATTAGAGCCTTAGCGACGGAACTCCTGGAGGGACACACGGGAGAGGCGGAGCGTCAGTCCCCGTCGCTCTCAAAGTCCTGAAAGGCAGAGGCGGAGGTTGGATCCTCAAGTTCTAGAGGATCGCGTAAGGAAGCAAGACGAGTTAATACGAAGGATGACGACAGATATAGAAACGATGAAGCGCCAGATAAAAGGTAAATGGGTGGCAACAAAAGAGGGGCATAAAGGCAACACGCCCTCTAACCATTTGGGAGATCGTGGCAGACAAGCCACGCCATCCCAAGCCGAAAGTAGGAGCCTTAGAACAGGCGACACTTAATCAAGGACTTCCAGGACTCGTTACTCCAAGTCTGAGAGAACGAGGACTGAAAGGTTGTAAACGGAGAGAAGCAGCTATCGGCCCTCGCGCATGTACCAAACAACATCTAGGCACACGGAGTTGCCTAGGTCAACGGACCTGCGAACAGTGCTAGAGGAGAGGGCCTGATGGAAGGAGGACACCAGAGCTCGCGACCTTCACAGGGTTTTAGCCCTACAACGATTGGCCCCTAGGACATATGTGAGTGTGGAGGTAGGAATGCCAATACCACGCCTTGCTTATGAACTAACAGATAAAGTATTAGCAAGGTTACAGAGTTCGTCGTTCGTTCTGGCAATTGAGAACGCACCACTTCCCTCAGGCTTCCACCAGCCGAAATTCACCACTTATGAGGGGAAGTCAAACCCCTACATGCATTTAAGCCACTTTCGCCAGGTTATGACAGTATACCGACGAAACGAGGCTCTAATGTGTATCCTGTTTCTATCCAGCCTTGGCGACCTAGGTCTAACCTGGTTCGAAAGGCTGCTAGAAGGCAGCATAGCCTCATGGGCACAGTTGGCAGAAGCATTCGTGACTAGATTCAGAACGAATACCAAGACACCAGTAGGGATCGACCAACTACTCTCTATTGACATGGGCAAAAAGGAGACATTGAGGTCTTACAACAGTCGATATTGGGAGACTTTCAACCAGATTGGGGATTACCCTACAAATCTCGTCATCGCACAATACAAACGGGGTTTACCAGTCGGAAACAAATTGATGGATTCAATGACAATGATGCCGCCCCTCACGATGGAGGCCCTAATGGAGAGAGTGCATCAGCATATCCGAGTAGAGGAAGATAGCGCTCGTGCTACAGCAAAATCTGGCGCAACAACGATGCTAGATAAAAAGACTACAGCAAAAGTCAACACGGTAGAACAACCAAGCCAGAGTGGACGAGGCAGGCGCGAGCCAACAGAGAGGACCTAGAAAAAAGGAGGTTAAGAGTCCGCACTGCCATTATCACAGTATTCAATAAACCTATCTACTGGATTCTCAGCAAGATACGTGATGAACCCTTCGTTCGATGGCTAGCCAAGTTAGGAGAAGCACGAAAGGGCTATGATGAGAGGTTACGTTGCACATTCCATGATGAAAAGGGGCATCGCACTGAAAATTGCACACCTTTGAGGCAACATCTGGAAGAGTTAGTGGCCGCTGGACACCTGGACCAGTACATTGAAGGGGGAACACAGCTTGCCCCCCAGGACCTCAATAGACCGAGCGGGATACCAGTCGACGGCCTATCTCAAGGCGTGACCAACATTATACATGGGATCGTCGAACCTGAGCGGGTATGTGAGCTTAGAGGGATGATCAAAAAGGCTAAGCACTTGAGAGAGGTATTAAGTGCACAACCTACCATAAAAAAGGGAAGAACAGAGGCCATGAACGTCATATCCTTTTCAAACAGGGATCTAGCAAGGCTACAGTGCCCTCACAATGACGCACTAGTGGTCACTTTACGCATCAAGAATTTCTACATTAAGCGGATTTTGATTGACCAAGGAAGCTCATGTGAAATAATGTACTACAAGACCTTCAAACAACTGAAATTGGAGGACAAAGACTTGGCATCTGCGACATCTCCCCTTGTCGGTTTCAACTCAATGCCAGAGTGGCCAATTGGCAAGATAATTCTGCTAGTCAAGGCAGAAACAATGACGAAACAGGTGGAGTTTTGGGTTTTAAAAGTCCCTTCCAGCTACAACATAATCTTGGGAAGGGCATGGCTGCATGCCATACGCTAAGTGGCGTCAACCTATCATCAGGCATTGCGGTTCCCCAACGAAGCCGGAGTGATTGAAGAAGTCTAGGGAGACCAAATTATGTCAAAACAGTGTTTCGTCACAGTAAATGGCAGTCGGGCTGCAAAAGGGTATGTACAGATGGTGGAAGAGCCAGAAAGCAATGAATTATTTGTAGATGTCGGCAAAGCAGCTGAACAGAAGGCAGTAGAAGACTTGGTAGAGGTAAGGATAGATGAAAAGAACCTAGAGAAGTTCTTTCTGCTCGGTTCGTTTCTGTCCAACACTGAGAGAATAAATGTCATGGAGTTTTTAACCTCTAACATCGAAGTGTTCGTCTGGACACCGTATGACATGGCTGGCATTAACCCTAAGTTCATCTGCCACCAACTTAATGTCCACCCAACTGCCAGACCAATTATACAGCACACTTGCAGATCGGTACTCCACCATGCGAAGATAGTGGCGGAGGAAGTAGGAAACTTGCTAGAGGCAGGAGCCATCAGAGAAGTGCATTATCCCAGGTGGATTTCCAACACTGTAGTAGTGCCAAGAAAGAACGGCAAGTGGCGCGTTTGTGTGGACTACAAAACAGTCAACAAGGCATGCCCAAAAGATAGTTTTCCCCTACCACAGATAGACCAACTGGTAGATCTAACGGCAGGACATAACCGACTTAGCTTCCTTGATGCGTATAGAGGTTACCATCAGATCGCTATGTATGAGCTAGACTAGGAGGTCACATCATTTACAACACCTAGGGGATTGTACTGTTACAAGGTCATGCCTTTTGGCCTAAAGAACGTAGGGGCTACATTTCAACGAATGGTCACCAAAATGTTTGAACCATTGTTAGGCAGAACAATGGCGGCTTACATAGATGATATGGTGGTCAAAAGCAAGGATGAGAAGGACCATCTCAGGGACCTAGATGAAATGTTCCAAATTTTGAAGTCTTACAAGTTGCGTCTAAACGCATCTAAGTATGCATTCGGCGTAGGATTAGGTAAATTCCTAGGTTTTCTAGTAACCAACCGAGGTATAGAAACTAATCCCTCTCAGATCAAAGCAATCCAGGATCTTGAGAGGCCCAATACAGTCAAAGAGGTACAACATGTCACTGGCTTAGCAGCCACACTCAACTGGTTCATAAGTCGGTCGTCAGACAGATGTCGACCAT